GGGGACTTCTAGGTTCAAACAGTCAAAATAGAGCCTTCCTGCAGAGGGCATCAGATGACCAGGTAGTGACAATCTGTGGTCAGTCCTGCAATGGAAAGTCCTGCAGAGGGCATCAGGTGGCCTGGCAGTGACACCCTGTGGCCCTACAGTGGGAAGTCCAGGGAAGGAGCTCTATTGAATAGACTCAACTGTGGCAGTTGAAGTTCAAGGAAGGACTTGCCTGCCTCTTCCTTCAAGCACCCAGCTCCTTCTACACACTTCTCTGTGTGACAGCAATCTGGACCTTCCAGGGTTGACAGACAGGTTGAGGAGAGGCTGTGAGGTGAGTCCACACTTGCGGTAAAAAGAACAGACAAGGAAAATCACAGCGGACTAAGCTAACATCTGGCACGTTGCATTGATGCTCTTATGAGGCAGAGAAGAGGAAATTAGAACTTTTATTTGGTCAAGAATATTTATTCTTCTTAAGTTATGTTAAAGGTACTGCCCTTAGAGTCTATCTCCTATGTATCTGGGGCAAAGATGGAAGCCCAAATAAGGAATGAGATCTGATTCTCAAGTGAGTCTTCTGAGAAATACAGATTCACCCGTCTCCAACCTGAGTGTCTGTGTCTAACGTTTATGTCAGATATGAGGGAGGTCAAAGAAGAGAGGTCAGACCCTTGAAAATGCTGACTTCTGGTCCTCCCTGTGAGGCAAGGCCATGGGTTCAGAGGCCACGCAGGATCTTCTGTGACAGGCAGACAGCTTGTAAATAGGTGAGGTCAGTGAGCCCTGGATAAGAAGTACCAGACATGCAGGTGAAAAGGGCCAGTCTTCTCACCTCCCCATCACGTCTCCTTGTATCCTCTCCCACCGAGCTACCCCCAGGAATGGCAGTCAGGGAGAGAGAAGCACCATGGTGTGCTGTGAAACCACTGAGGACACACATTCTTTTTCAAGTGGTCCGTCCTGGGCAGTGGCTTGTTTTCTCATTTGTAGCAGACAGCACCCATCTCTCTGTCTTTTAATACAACCAGCATCTCTCGGAGGCTCGTGTCGAACCCATGCCTGGTAACAGGGAAGAAGGCAGCATGAAGCCTGCCCCGGTATCTGTCCTGGGGGGTGATGGATGTCAAAGGAACAGGCCAATCACGGGCAGGCTTGACAGAGCATGGGAAGGATAGAGGACCCTGCTTGCATGTGATGGGGAATGGAACTGCAGCGGGGGGTGGGGGGGGGGGAGAGAAGGCATTAGTATGTTTTAGGGTTGGCACAGGCACTGGGGATGCAGTGTCCACTCCTTGTGGGGCGGGTGTTTGGGAGTGACAGGCAGTTTCCTGACCAGGTGACCCTGCAGGGTGATGTGAGCACACAGACTAGGGGATGTTCCATGCAGTCGCAGGCTGGATCCTCTCCTCAGCAGGTGCTTAGAGAGGTATTGATCCTTCTTCAGTCGGGCTAACTGTCTGTTCTGTCCCCCAACCGCTGCTCATGGGTAACTTTGGCGGCTGCCATCTTTGTGGCCCTGGCTGCTCTCCCAGAGGACCTGGGTTCAGTTCCCACGGCGGCTCACAGCCATCCCTAACTCCTGCTCCAGAGGATCTAGCACCTTCTCTGGCAGCAGGTACACACATGCCTACATACATGTGCACATAACACCTACATACATAAAATTAAAAACATGTATTTTTTAAAATTGGTTGCCTCATTGCATCTGTTTCGCAAGAGCCATGTGACATTAGCAGTAATTTCCTTTGGGCCTCAGTTTCTACTTTTATTAAATGAGGAGTTAAGATTTTCTATTTCTCTGCCTGCCTGCCTGCCTGCCTGTCTGTCTGTCTGTCTGTCTGTCTGTGCAGGGTCTCACTCTACAGCCCAGGCTGGCTTGGACCTTACTACGCAGCCCATGCTAACCTCAGACTCAGCAGCTCTCCTGTGCCATATTGTAATGAGTAGATGCTAACAGACTGCTTTCTGCAAGAATTTTTTTTCCCCTAAAAAACCCTTTTACGTTTGTTTATTTTGCATGGGGGCAAGAGGACACATGCCCTGGCACACATGTGGAAGCACAGAGCGTCACTTCTCTCTTCCCACCTTGTGGATTCCTGGGATGGAGTGCAGGCTGTCCAGCCTGGTAACACGTGCCTTTCCAGGTGACTCTGCCCTCCCTAAAACATTCTCCAGACTCTGCCCAGCCTTCCATCTGAAGCCCCTGCTCAGCTCACTCACAGAGAGGCAACACTAGCTCTTGCTTAGAGCTGCTCCGCTGAGCCTCTGTTGATTTCCTGGTCCCAGGAGAGCGTTCTGTAGAGCCTTTTAAATACGCAAGCCCCCACAGCTCCTTCCCTAGTGCACCCACCTCTGGCCAGTTCTGCTAGGCTTCTTACACGGTACCCTGTTACAGGATTCTTCAGTGACACCACGTCGGCAGCCAGAAGTGTCTTCCTTACATATGAATGTGACCATGTCATTTCCATGCTTGAAGTGTCAATGACAGTCAGAATACAGCCTGCGTCTGTTACTTAAAGAAGGGTTTATGTGGGCTATAGGGGTTCAGAGTTTGAGGGGCTGTTGTTCATCATGGTGGGGAGGGCATGTGGCGGGTGGCTCTGTGGCAGTGGGTGTGTGCAGTCGATGACTGCTCCAATCCCAGTGGACCAAGCAAAAGGAAGTGAGCTATCTGTACTGTACCTTCCAGGCCCCACCCTAGTGCCCATTTCTCCCAGCTAGGTTCTGTGTCCCAAAGGTTTTATAATGTCTTCTAAAACAGGACCACGTGTCCAAACACATGCCCCTATGGGTGCGTTTCAAATCCACACTCCTTCCATGGCAACCATGGCTCTTCATGACCGTGATGCCTGTCTACCCTCTATTTCCTCCTGCCCCTTACCCTAGCTACATCTGCCTGGCCCTCCAGAGTTCTACCCCCACCCTGTGTCACAGGACTTGTTTTCTGTCACCTTCTCAGGCGTCCTCTGGTGCTTGAGCTGGTGGGAATCCTTTCACCATGGTTTCATGACACTCTACCTACCCTTAGCCCTTCCTTTAACAGCTTACCATGTGAAGTGAGGTTGCCACCTTGAGGTGGGGAAGCCATGGCAGATTCAGTCCAGTCTGGCTGTAAGCAGGGCTCACTAAATAAATACTCCACTGGCATCTACTGAAGTGCTCTGCCTGAAGAGTGTGCACAGCCAGGGAGGAGCTGCATTTCTGGGGAACACTGCTCTCCAGCCATTAACACATGCTGAAAGAGGGGACAGGATTACGTCTAAAGCCTAACTAGGGGACAGAATTCTTTGAGTAAGTTTCCTCATTTTCTCTTTGCTTTTATAACAGTATTACCCATGCATATTTTCTCAATCTAGGTTTCGCCTCTACTTTTTATAAACTATTCCTCAAAAGGTGGATACACTACACATCAGGGGTGGGCAAGATGGAGATGCTGTCCTCTGTGAGCTCCGGCAATGTTACCAGGGACACAGAAAGTGCTCTGGGCGCTGGAAGGCTGACTTCAGCTACTTATTCATTGTGGCCTCTGAGCAGTTCCTAGGGGGACTGCGACATGAACCTTTACTCAGGCTGCAACGGCATGCCGTGGGCACTGCAGGGTTCGTGTTCATGTCTTAGATCTGGGAATACAGACTATCAAGCATCTTAGTTTCATGGCTGAAATGGGGGGGGCATTAGTTTCTTATAAGTCTACTTTAATGAAGCAGCCTCCCTTTTCTTTCGTGTGTGCGTGTGTGTACAGTGCATGCACGTACACACATCCATGTGCAGGTGTACTCTTCTGTTGGGAGGTCAGAGGTCAACTTCAGGCACTGTTCTCAGTCACCATCTTAGTTGTTAGGCAAGGTTTTCCATGGAACTTGGAACATGTTATTTCAGCTTGGCTGGCTGGCCAACAAGCCAGGATCTGCTTGTCTTTGATCCTTAGCACTGAGTACTATGTGCTATGTGTCACGTGGGTGCCAAGGGGTTGAACTCAGGGCTCACGCCTGCACAGCAGGCACTTCACCTGCAGAGCCATCTCCCCAGCCTAGCTGCTACCTTCTAGGCAAAAGATAGTTCTTCAGGTTAACACAGGATTTAGAAAAAAAAATGTCATTTTTTATCACTGATTCATAGACCTACTTTGTCATGTTTCAAAGGAAACAAAACTGTATCTTGAAGTATTAAGCATATAAGAAAGAAAACAATTGTACTGCCCCAATGAATCTTGAAAATTTATTATTTGGGAGAATATCAGATATTGATCTTTTGCTTTATAGCTCATGATAATAATCAGAAAATATACATTTTGAAATGAAGTCAAAAGAAAATAATTACATATAATACATATTACAGATTTCTTATTTATACATCAGCAAAGCGGTACTAAAAGCGTGTTCATGGCCCACAGTCACAAACACGGACACTTTCTGTCTAAAGATGCAGCGACTCAAACCCTTCTGGGTCCGTGACAAGACACTGAGCAATACCTGGACGGGCTCTCACCAGGGCTGGCTGTAAACCTGCATTTTCACTCTTCCCCCTCCCCCCATATATACGCATATATTTATTGCCTTTTAGAGTTCTGCTGGTTTAATAGTATGCTAAAGAGCCATCCGCAGCCATTTGGTTTCTAAAAATATATAAAATGCACGGGAAGGAGCTCTCGCAGCTCTGACGTGGCCAATGACCTGGCGTCCAGGGTGCACGGGAAGTGTGAAGCAGCAATACTGAATAAATACTGATGGCCGTGAACCCTTGACCAGCCGACAGCCTTCTCCCGGAACGTAGCCACAGCAGACAGGACACACATGCAACTTAAAGACACTGACATGATACCAAAGGAATACTTATGAGCTAGCTTTGCCGCAGTATCGACTAGTCAAGACAGGCTGTGTTAGAGAGGGATGCAGAGCGTCACTTTATATATATAAAAGTTAAGGCCTACTCTGTCGAAGGCAACGTCCAACGCTAACTGCCTGCCCCAGTGTGTGCCTGAAATCAGCCCTGTCTTTTTTCCATACTACTTCTTCAGCCTGTCAGTCCTTACTTGGGAAGGTATCCCTGGCATAGCATCCTTGTCTCGGACCAAGACTGTGTTAGCGCAGGACTGCACTTTGTCTTCGCTGTGGGAGCAGTGCAGATCGATCGGTCTGTGCCACCACACTCCACTTTTCACCTTACATGCCAGGCTGGAAACGGCTCTTGTTTAAACTGACTTCAACTCTAGGAGCTGCCGAGCTGCCCAGCCGCTGATAACTAAGTGGGCATTCAAAGGGCAGCTTCAGCACCATCTGAAGCCTCACATATAAAAAAACGCCCTGTTCACTGAGACAAAAACGAACGTTAACAGCCAAAATATAAAGAAAATGACAAAATAAAACGTGCGCACGCGCGCGCACACACACACACACAGAAAAATGAGGTAACCCACTGTGGGTGATTCTCTGAGAACAAAGATGCTCTAGAGGTCAAACAGACCAATGATATTCAAATTATTCACTGGTCAGAATAAAACTTATCACATATTTAATACCTGTAGAAAAACCACGTAATATAACCTGCAGTGCTAATTTAAAAGACAGGAAAATTTGTGATCTAATTTATTATTTAGAACCTGGATATTTGTTTCCCCATATGCAAAATTTGACATTTGGTATTTTTTGAATCCCATAGACTGCGCCCCTCTGAGATGTGGCCACAGACAAGGCTCGAAAGCCGATGCGCTTGTAGCCATAGTAGGTAAAAACAGGCACAGCAGACTGAACTTCTGTAGGGAAATGAGTTGTTTTCTCTAGCTACAAAAGACTTAGAAAACATCTGACAGTGGTGTGCTTGGGGAATCCTGGACCTGTGACACAGGCCAGCTGTCAGTCTGCTTGTGAGCCCACATGGCCACACCCGCCCATCCGGGAGCTGTCTGTGTGTCTAAGTAGGCCCATGGAGGGTAGCTGGCAGCTTCAGAGCTGACACTGGTAGAGATGTAAAGTGTGGTACTTACTGGTGGAGAGCCAGGGCTGTCGGGAGCTGGTGGGATGTGCTGCCTGCTTTAGAGTCCCTGTGAAACCTGGCAGTTCCCAGCAACCTCGTGAGCTGTGCTGCGCTGCTCCACCAGGCGTGCCGAGCAACCGTGCAGGTTCTTTTCTCTCCTCTGAGATAGGGCCGCACACCAGACTGCACGGAACTTAGGACAGCCTGGGTCTTGTGGCAACTCTCCTGCCTCAGTCTCCTGAGTGTTGGGACTATAGTCATGAGCCACCATGCCCAGCTCTGTCTTTAATTTCTCATTAACATTTTGGCTTAAATTGAAGACAATCCATTTGTATAATGTTTACCTTTGTGGTCAAGGTTTACTGTAGCTGAACAATGCTCTGTACAGGACAGAATAAGGCATGGGCTGGGCGTCATGAGTCACCACTGTCACAAAAAGATACAAATCACTTTGAATTATTATTTTTAAATATATATATATATATATATATAGATATGAAACAACTGTTACAAATCTGGATCAAATGTGTACAGGCCACGGTTCCTTCTCAAGTTCTCTGCAGAGCAGTAACGGCAAGATCAGCTTGGTAAGTCCGAGGACCCAAAGACATCAGGTTGAGGTCTGATATTTATTTACTTATGTGGGTAAGGGGCAACATTCATGGCTTTCAATTCTCAAGAAGCATCTATTACTTCACAGCCATTCTTTAGTCCTCTCGCTGGAAACCTAAACAAAGCTGCATTATCGACTTCACTAAACACCCAGTAAACCAAAAGTAGCCCAGATGTGTTCAAACATCCAGAGTTGCCCTTAGCGTCATCAGGGCGTTGCTTTATTAATCCACTTTTATTTTATTGCATGTAAGTAGTACAGAGGACGCATTCTCTTTAGAATTAAAAACTGCTTCACGTTTCAGACCAAAGTCTTAGTTACATTGAGCCAAATGTGCTCCAAGAGAATGGAAATGGCTGGAAGTCCTGACAGCATGTCTAAATATTACTCGTGAATGCAGCTAAGTCACTGTGTGTGAGAAAAGTATTGACTCTTTTTTTTTGGCTTAATACACAAAATGATACAAATATAAGACCAATATCCTATAAAGTCAAACTTAAAAATAAAAACATACTCTGAATTTAACTTTATTTCCTTGGTAAAAAAATACCCGAGCGTGGTGTTCCCTAGTTTGACCTGGTGCCTAGAGAAAGCACGCGGCCACATTATATCGTGGCAACAGCACCCCTGCTAGGCATGGCGTGGACTACACAGAGGAAGTGGGTTGCTCTGAAATGTATCCCATGATTCCCAAAGTACAGCATCCCTATCTTCAGGGCTCTCTCCTCCTCACATCATGGGAGCATAAGGCAGGAAGACCTCAGCGTGTACCAGAAAACCCATGGGCAGCCATCAGCTGACCTGCTGGCAGTCTATGACCACAAGCATTTTATATGAACAACTACCCCCATTAAAGCTGTTTCTGGGATGTTATATGGTAATTTACATTGGGAAATACTGTAAAGAAACGATCAGCTTCCAGAGTAGAGAGAAAGCTCAACTCTCTCACTAAAGCGGGGGCGAGGAAAAGCTCCAGCGTTGAGGTCAGCGGGCTCCGCTGGAGTCAGTCTGGACGGTGAGCGTCCCAGGAGGCCGTGTAGCTATGCATGAGCAAAGCTCGGACGGAATCTGCCAACATGCACACAGTCAGGAGCCCACAACAGTTAACATAATTAACTCACAGGATAAGGATTAATAAAATATTAAACAGCAACATTCATACATCAATCAGTTACATGGAATAAATTAAACTAAACAGTTAACATAACCTTACTCTTTAATTCAGGGTTTATTCATGTATAAACATAGGCTAATACTTTTCTAATGTTCTCAGAAGACTACAAATAAAAATGAAGGCTTTGCATGTCAGCTGCTAGACAACGTGTCAATACTGCGAGTGTGAACAGCTCCGTGTTCGGCGTCAGTGCACAGGGCTCAAGTGGTCTGCAATTGGAGAAGGTAGAGTGGCCTGGGACAGACCCTCGCTCAGTTGGCACACACTGAAGGATTTTACTGTCCTTGGTACCTTGGCTGGATCTTTCCCCTGAAGACAATGTTATACATAGATGCCTTCAGGATTAAATCCAGAGGAGATGGGGTTCTGCAGAATACGGAGATTACTGGGGAGCTGCCGTGAAGAACCAGGTCGCTTCAGGGACCCAGACTGGAATGGCGCTTCTAAATAGGGAACAGACAGTCATCTGGTGAATTGGCTAACCAGAAAACCCAGTAACTTCCTACCCCAAAGAATTACAGAGAGAAGGCCACACTGCAGCCAGAGGCAGGGGAAGAAGACAGGGACTGGGAAGGAGAAGGCAGGAGATCTGGCTAGGAGCCTGTTTCTAAAGTCTAGTGGGCTTTGCCCTGCGGCTTCTCCCAGTTGCTGGGGCCACAGCACACAGATGGGGAGTTCCAATTACAGAACAGATGAATAACAGAGACTCAGGAGAGGAGGGGGAGTCAGGAGAAGTTAGGATGCAAATTAACATGACCCATATTCATATTCATATTTATACTTTGGTAAACTGTTTAAAATAAACAGTATGTCCATCCAAATAAATAGCTCCCCCAAATGTTATTGATTTCCCAGAAACAAGAAGATATCATTGTAGGTGACTTCAGGGAGGATAGAGGAAGGCCTTACCTGTCTCTATGTCTGCCTGGGAGGCCTCTATTTCAGTGGGCTCAGCTGGCAGCACGGTGACCTTTGTCCCTGTCTGCTGGATGAACTGCTGGAGGTTGACTTGCCGCAGCTCTTTGGTCAACTGCTCCAGCTCCTGTTCCTTGTCCTGGTTGGAAAACACCAGCTATTCTGTAAGGTGCTGTGTGGGAGGGGCTGGGAGATGGGGCCTGCTTTCAGGACTCATTTGACACTCTTGGTTATGTGGACAGGGTGGCTAAAGAGAGTACAGCCCGTCCTCTTAGATGGGAGGTGTCCCTTCTGGATGTGGCCACACACTCGTGTAAAATAAACGCAGTGTTAGTCTGCCGTCAAAAGTACTGTTTCTATACACCTCAGCGCTACAACAGTCTTGCTGATCTTGTGACAAATTCCCCTCCTACACACTTTATAACCGTCTGCACATTAAGAGCAATTTGGCTCACAAGAGCTAGAGCTCTTGTTTTGATGAGGTGTTGGAGTTGAATCTGCTAACTCTTATTTTATAGCATGAAGCGAGCAAGACTCTCATGAAATTCTCAGTCTAAGGTTCCTAAGTCCTCGAGAGAGCTTGGGCTGCAGAGCCATAGCTGGGTCTTTATTAAGCTTCCCCTTACATGGATGAGGTGTCCTGCTCAGAGATAGCCTTACCTGTAAGCGCTTGGTAGCCTGCCCCAGAGACCTCTCTACGGCTCGAATGCCGTTCTCCAGCCTCAGGCTCTGCTGCCCTTGAAGGTCCATCTCCCCCTTGACCTTCTCAATCTTTCCTTTCACCTCCTCCTCATTGACCTGTGCCTCCTGAACTTCCCGGTGCAGTTTCTCCGCTTCGAGGCCGCTCTCCATCGTGTGGATCTGCGCCAGGTAGTCCTTCAGCTTGCTGTCACAGTCCGTGACTTTCTGCCGTATCTCCTCAAGCTGGTCCTGCAGCTGCTTTTCATTTTCTTGTTCGATCTGCAGTTCATTTTCCCAAAATTCCTCCTCCTCGATCTCCACATCATTCCTCTTGATCTTCTGCTCCAGGCGGACAATCTCCTCTTCCAGGCTGCAGTTGAACTTTTGCTCCCAGAACCGTATTTCGAGCTCGCTGGACTCCAGCTGCTGCTCGATGGCTTGCAGCTTCTCTGTCTGGAGCCGGATCAGCCGCTTCAGCTCCTCCGCGGTGCTTCTGCAACTGCTCAGCACCTTCTGCCGAAACTCAGTTTCCTTCCCTTTCCCAAAAATGTCCATCAGCCCTTTGGCACCTCCTGTGAACGTCAGCGATTTTCTTTTAGGTTCTCTTCTTTTGATGGACTTGTCTATCTGAGGCCGCAGTTTGGCTAAGGGGGGCAAGCTCTGTCGGTACAAAGTTCTTTCAGGAATCCGGGCCACACTGTCTGAGGTGGGTCGCTCACTGAGAGATGGCCCAGTCCGCCGCAAGATGAGCTGTACGTCGCTAGCATACTGCCCCCACTTGTTCAAGGATATGATGGGGTTTTCATGTGGTGCCAAGTGCCTTTCCGTATCTCTCCATTTTTCTATTAGGGTGTACCTTCCAGTTCGACCTGGAAGAGACCAGAATATTCTGTCATAGTGGGACATGGAGTGATAAATGGTCCAACAGACAAAACTTCTGACAGCTGTTCTCGGGCAGCACCGAAATGCCAACGTTGGGAGTCTAGGTGCCTCTGGTAGCTTCAGAAAACAGACAGCATGATGTTCAGATCTGAACTGTGAGTGACTACCCTCTTTCCCTGACTAAGAATTTTATACTCTGACAGATGTCTAAGAGCTCAGGACGTCTGGAGCAGGACTGAACAAAGGGAAGCGCTGGGAATGCTTCCCTGCAGCGAAGAGGGGAAGGTCCCAAAAGTTAACCAGATAAAGCCGCACAGATTTTCACTGTGTCAGCCTTGACAAGACAGACCCAAAGTTAGTGGAGAACCAGCCCCAGCTCACTACAGTACCCAGGTCTCAGGGCTCCCCAAGAACTCAGCTGGCCTACAGCTCACACAACTGAAGCTGCCCCTGCCAAATAACTTCCTGTAAAAATGGGAGTCTGAAGATAAGTTTGGTTTAATCTTAATAATAATAGTTTCAAAGGTTCTTCAAAAAACTCCAAAATTTAGATTTTATTGTTAGAGACAAAACAGTAAAACCATTTAAATAAAAAATACGCTTTACCCACTAATTAGAGGATTGAAATAAACTTTCAAAAGACAACATAGGGCCAGAATGAGGGCTCAGTGGGTAAAGATGCTTGTCACCAAGCCTGGTGATCCCAGGGACACACAAGTTGGAATCAAAGAACTGTTCCTGAAATTTTTCCAGCCTCCACAGTGTGGGAGGTCCTTCTGTCTGTGTGCTGCTTTTATTGGTTAATGAATAAAGAAGCTGACTTTGGCCAATGGCTTAACAGAATATAGCCAAGTTGGAAGACACACACACATATACATACATACATACATACACACACACACACACAGAGAGAGAGAGAGAGAGAGAGAGAGAGAGAGAGAGACAGACAGACAGACAGACAGACAGACAGACAGAGACAGGGGGGGCAGAGTCAGGGAGCCACCATGAAGCCACCAGGCAGAACCTTGCTGGTAGGCCATGAGCCTTGTGGTAAAATATAAAATAACAGAAATGGGTTAACCAAAGATATAAGAGCTAGTTAGTACTATGCTTAAGTGATTGGCAAGCAGTGATTTAAATAATATGGTTTCTGTGTGATTATTTCAGGAGTCTGGATGGCTGGGAAACAGACGAGTGGCCTCCCGCCAACACCGCCACATGTTAGTTTGGATATATTTGCTGCCCTTCCACCCACATAAATAGATGAATAAATAAATAGATAAATATAGTACAGAAAGAAAAAAGACAATGTAAATGTTACAGGTGTGAACACATTTCATAAACATTTTCATTTATGGTGGGTCCTATTTTGAGTTTGTTAAACATGTACGTTAGGGGCTGAGAGAGACATCAGTCAGTCAAACAGCAGTTTGACAAACATGAGCACCTAAGCTTGGAGCCCAGAACCCACAAATACATCAGGGACAACAGGACACACGTGTGATCCTTGTGGGGTCTGGGACAGTGAGAAACCGTCATGAGAAATGACCTTTATGCATGCAGGTGACACATGTATGCATGTGCCCCCACACATCAAAGAAAGCAAACATTAGTAATTACTGTACTAGGAAGGCGAGGCCTGGCTCTGCCACCTCGCAGTGGGGGCACAGGAGCAGCATCACAAACTGCTGACACACACAGTATTTTCTCCATTTCTGGGTCAACACATGGGCATCGGGGTGTGTGGGTACAAAGTGTCCCCAGCGATCTAGAAGCGGAACATAAGAAGGGTAAACCGACATAGCCTGAATGTTCATCATACCTACCCGGCTAGATGTCTATGGCACTGAGCGTCTAAGCTGTCTGTTAAACAAGTGTGACATAAATAAATAATGGCAAATAAAACACTGATTATGGTTTTAAGTAGCGGGAGCAGTTAGAATGTGGCAGGACAGGAAGCAGCTGCAGGCCAGTCACCAGGCCAGCTCCTCCTCAGAGGAGCTCTGCATTCAATTAAGTATTTATGATACAAAAAAGGACTTTTTAGGCAAAATTTGAAGTAACATCATAAAACATCTATATTCAAGTTTTCAGGCTTTCAAAGTAGGCCTTGAATTGAGTTACTGAGAACATGTGTTCACAGGTTAAATACATTCTTCATTCCACATGAAGAAACACATCTGGCAAACAGGACATGTTTTCTCCATGGCATTCTCTGCAGTGTGGTGTGTGGTCACCATACTGAAAGACACAGTGGTAGCAGCAGCTCAGTGAGCATGGCTTCTCCAGGCTCACTTTTCTCCTAGGCACGCTGGTGTGTGCACTTGGATGGCTGAGACAGGAGAGTTGCCACAGGTCAAGGTCAGCCTAGTCTACATAGTGAGGCCTTGTCTTTACGGATTTCTTGTGGGACTCCTACCAGTGGACAGGGGCTGTCTCTGACTCTTGCTGCCTTTTGGGACTCTACTCCTCACACGGGGCCACCTTGCCCAGCCTTAATACAAGGCAAGGTGCTTAGTCTTACTAGAACCTGATATGCTGTGCTTTGTCATATCCATGGGAGGCCTGCCCTTTCCTGAACAAAAAAGGAGGAGGGGTGGATGGGAAGGCAAAGGGTAAGTGGGGGTAGGGACTGAGATGAGAGAGGGAGGGGAAACTGATCAGGATGTAAAAAAAACAAAGAACATAAAACTGTAAAACTACAGAGAGAGAGAGAGAGAAAGAGAGAGAGAGAGAGAGAGAGAGAGAAATTACTTAAACAAACAACAGCAACACCGTTGTTGTTCAAGGTGAATTCCGAGTTGAAGCCTTAATCTTCACTGACCTGGCTTGTTTCACTCAACAGATCATGGAGGTTCTCAGGAGGAATACTGAATGTGTTGGCAGAAAAGAATGCCTTAGTCCCCTTCCACATTAAGCCCAAGTCTACAAATAACAGTCCTGGTGAAAGGTGTTTTGCTCAATTGGGAAGGTCCAGCATTTCCAGCACTGCTTTAATACAGTGAGGCTGCAGACCTACAGAGAAGAAAGATGACTTTGGGAGATCTGCCACAGTGCGAGTGTGCGGACAACAGGTGATCTGTTCCAATCCTGAACTGACTTGACATGCGTCTGTTATCAGCTTCTGACTAGGAGCTCAGGGACATAGAACAGCTGAGCACCTAGCAAGTCCTGGATGCAATTTCATCTTATTCATGTTTGCTGAATAGCAGATTTATAATGCAAATAGAAACTTTGAACACATTACTTGGTTTTATGGAGATAGAGGTTTATGCCTTCATTGTGTTCCAAAAAATAATCTAAAGCAACTAAGAAGTATGTATAAATTCTGATAAAATTTTAAATAGGGCCTAGTTGCATGGCCCTATAATTCCAGCAACTCACGAGACCGAGGCAGGAGGATTGCAAGTTCAGGACCTGCCTGGAGTACAGAGTATTCCAAGATCAGCCTGGGTAAGCTGGTGGTACCCTGTCTCAAAACAGGAATGACAAGCAGGTTTTGGGACAGAGGCATGATATGGGATTCCCCTCTGTATGCTGTGAATACCATTGGTTAATAAAGAAACTGTCATGGCCTGTGATAGGGCAAAAGAATAGAGGTAGGCAGGGAAAACTAAACTGAATGCTGGGAGAAGGAAGGCAGAATTAAGAGAAGACATGGAGCTGCCACTGGAGACAGATGTGCTGAAACTTTGCTGGTAAGCCACAACCTGGTGGTGATGCACAGATTAATGGAGATGGGTTTGATGTAGGTGGGCCTTCTTTCTATGTGTTGCTTTCATTGGCTAATTAATAAAGAAACTGCTTGGCCTGATAGGTCAGAACATAGGTGGGCGGAGTAGACAGAACAGAATGCTGGGAGTCAGATGCCATGATTCTGCCCAAGATGGACGTGGGTTAGAATCCTCCCAGTAAGCCATGACCTCGTGGTGACATACAGATTATTATATATGGGTTAGTCAAGATGTGAGAGTTAGCCAATAAAAGGCTGGAGATAACAGGCCAGGCAGTGTTTAAAAGAATACAGTTTCCATGTAATTATTTCAGGTAAAGCTAGCCGGGCGGGCGGTGGGAAGTGGCCCGCCATTCCTTTTATAATGGGTTAAATTAATGAAGAGTTAGCCAATAAGAAGCTAGAGCTAATGGGCCAAGCAGTGATTTTAAGTAATACAGTTTCTGTGTGGTTATTTTGGGGCTGAGCAGCTGGGAACCAACAAGCGGCTCCCACAACAGTGAAAGAGCATTTGCTCAGCACTCCTGAGTCCCTGGGTTTAATCCCTACTACCATGGAAAGTTTTTATGTAGAGGTGTGTGTATACAAACATACATACATACATACTCACACACACACACAAAGACATATATGTATATGTATATATTTTTATTTTTTAATTTGCTTTCTTTTTTTCAAATAAGTAATTTTAAAGAAAAGCTTAAACTAAATTAGAGGAAAAGTTGAAACAGGAGGAAAGACAGAAGACAGACCCAGGAAATGTGGCTAGAAACATGGACTTCATGGCATGAAACATGGCAACTTCATCTTCATTATATTAAAAAAGTCCACATTTCTGTTTAATAAAGATACACTGCTTAATTTACTTTATTCTTTATTTTAAATGTATTCAGAAATTGACAATAAGTAGAGTTTAACTCAGAAGGGGTTCTGGGAACTAGGAGTCTGCTCTGGATTAGGAAACATCTACAATTAAAAAAAAATCACTATTCAAGACAAACATCAGGAGCAGGCAGTACAGACTTCAGATGCAAGGTAACATGAGGGAGGTTCAGAGTGCAAGCGTTACCACAGCCTGACACAGCACCTGCAAAGGGTGAGAAGGAGAAGTGCACCCGAGAGCTATGGGCCTGAGCCCACTAGAGAAGAATGCAGTGCACACACATGGGCTAAAGGTGTACTTGATGGAGCAGGAAAGCCTCCGTTAGCAGAGCACAGGTCTGTGGTGTCTGTGGTGACATTTCTAGAGGTGATAATTAAGGCCCTCACCAAACAGACGGATTCACCCTTTAATGGACTTATGGTTGTACTATTGGGAACTGAAAAGAGGCAGGAACTGAAGCCTAATTGCAGGAAGTTGGTCCATGGGGTCATGTCCTTTGGGACCATTTCTGTCATCCCATTTTTGACTTGGACACTGGTGGTTTGAGTAAGAATGGCTTCCATAGGCTCACATATTTGAATGCATAGTAACCAGGGGTGGCACTATTTGAGAAGGATTAGGAGGTGTGGCTTCAATAGAGTAGGTGTGGCCTTGCTGGAGGAATTGCATTACTACAGGTGGGCTTTGAGGTTTCCAAACTCTTGCCAGGCCCAGTCTCTCTGCCTGCAGACCAGATGTAGCTCTCAACTATGTCTCCATACAAGCACCATATTTGCTGCATCTGCCGTGCTCCCTGCCACAATGAAAATGGACTAAACTTCTGAAACTGAAAACAAGCCCCAGTTAATGCTTTCTCTCCAAAGAGCTGCCTTGGCCATGGTGTCTCTTCATAGCAAAAGAACAGTGACAAGACAGGCTCCAAAAGCGAGCTCTGCCACATCCTTCCCCACCACGATGGGCTGAGGCCCTGGGACTATGACACAAACCATACTCCTCAAGTGGAGTTGTTACGTCAGGTATCGGGTAGTGACTGGGCAGAGTAACCAACACAGACAACTGATGCCAAGAACAGAGTCACTGCTGCTGTTCAGTCTGACCAGGTTTTGAAGGCCTTTAGAAGTAGTTTGCGGGGTGAACTTAGAAGAGTTTGGAACAGGCAGAGAAAAACATCTTAAAATGCTGTAAATCAGAGTTAATGGTGGTTTTGGTAGGAGCTCAGAAGAGCAGAATTCCAGGGGAATGTGGACAATGAAGACGCACCTCAGGAAGTTTCAGATGGGAACAAGACTCATGGGAACTGGGTTAGAAGTCATTTCTGTTATATTGTGGCAAATAGCTTGTCTACATTTTGCTCCTACTTTGAGACTTTAGGGAGGATGTTTAAACAGGATGGCATCTTTACTCTGGCGGAGAGCGTTTTAGGACAGCACGGCATGCGAGCTATGGCGCAGGTATCACTCGCTGCCTTGAGCCAGGCTTACAGCAGGAACTGGAAGGAAGAAGCAGAGCGAGGTTTGTACACAGTGCAATGGCTAGAGGAGGGTGCTGCAGACAAGGGCATGGCTGCTGGAGTACAGAAGCCACGCACATGTGCTGTGTCAACAGGAGGACCTGGCCAAACCACCCTCAGAGTGAGGAGAGGAAATGGCAGCTTTTCCTTGGAAGGAAAGCACCTTTTGGGTGCCTGTGGGAGCAGGGCTGCCTGGGAAGTATTCCCTCAGGTCTGCTCACTGTGCACAACTCCCAAGGACTCAGAGGTGTTGCAACTGAGGTCCAAAGAGGTCAAGTTGCTGCTTGGACTGCCAGCAGAATTGGCATCATCCAATTGGTGCTGGTTTTACAGGCATGCAGAACGTAAGGGTTAGGGATGATGGAAACTTCCATCCGGGTATGGAAGAAAAGCCTGGGAAGCCGGAGCATGTGTCAGGGTCAGAGTCCCCAAAGGCCATTCTGTGAGGTCAACGAACTCGAGGGTGAAGGGGAATGTGCGATGAAGAAGCTGCAGGCAGGGAGAAAAGTAAGTGTAGGAATGAGGTCCTGTAGTGGGTGCTGCTGGGAAGGAAACAAGGTCCCCTCCCCTCCCCTTCTCCCTGCACCCCATGCACTTCGATTACCTGGATGTTCTGCCCAGACATCTTAGGCCAAGAAACTATAGGCTGAATCCTCTGAAACTCTGAGCCAAATCCTCCTGCTCAAGCTAACTCACGCACACACATCTCTACACCCACAAGTACTGGATGGGTTTTACTCACCTATAGCCTGGGCTAAGGCTATCACCACCTCCTGGCAGGTTGTGACTTCAGTGACACCGCAGACGACCCTCTGAACTCCATCCACCCACACTTTCAGCTCCATGGCGCACTTGCCCGTCACCCAGAGCCCCGACAGTGGTCATCAGGGTCTCAGGTCATGGCTCCGGCTCTGGAAACAGAAAAGACAGGTTCTGTATTAGCTTACAAACAGACAGACAAGGTAAAACATCATCTTTTCAATAAAGGAAACCTTCCCGATGTTATGTGAACTCCAGCATGACACTGAATGCCCCACCCGTGACTCACAGTAACTTTGAACTGTGTCCCAGGTCTACAGACTTGCTCAATGCCATGCTGGTGTTCTGTCTCTCTCTTCTCAATTTGATCATTAGTGTAATGTCAAGAGTTTTTAAAGTTCCTGTCATTTCAGGAATCATAAATGATCAAACCATTTTAAACAAACTTGTTCTGTGTCCTCCTGACCAGTGTGCATCCCTGTGTCACATCCCCTGGCCTCCCCAGGCCTCTCTGAGCTTCTCACACCAGGGCTATGAAAATCAGCTGAAGGAAATCATTCCTTCATGCACGTCTGTCTTTTTTCATTGCTGGTTCCCTGATTTCATCAAGTCAGAAGAGTCCAATCGCTAACAATAAAAAACACAGTCTTCCCAGTGTTCACTGTTTACCTAGTCCCTTAAAAATAATGTGGCCACATTATGTGCCAACCAGAAGGCTTTACCAAATCAAACCAAGCTCTCCCACTAACTGGATACATCATCTCACTGAAGTTCCATAGAAACCCTTCTTCCTGGGCTTTAAACCTCAGCTTGTTCTGTGGTAGACCTACAGTCTGAGGAGGTCTACCTATTCTGTGGTAGGTCTACAGTCTGGATGTCTACTTATTCTGTGGTAGACTTACAGTTTGAGAAGGTCTACCTGTTCTGTGGTTGGCTATAGTCTGATAAGGTCTATCTGTTCTGTGGTAGGCCTACAGTTTGAGGGGTCTACCTGTTCTATGGTAGCCTACAGTCTGAGGAGTCTATCTGTTCTGTGGTAGCCTACAGTTTGAGGGGTCTACCTGTTCTATGGT